CCGCCCGAAGCCTTGCGGGCAGGCTTCCTCACTCACTTGGCCACGTGTTTGTGGCATAGAGCCCAAGATAGGGTCCGTGTACCTGTTGGAAGGAAGTCAGATGTTCAAGCAAGAATACTGTACCCTTGGGTAAACATAAATCCTGGTCCACAGGAGAGATGTCGAGATGGTTCTACCATTAACAGAATGTGCAACGGTGAGCAAGCCGGTTAATTTCTCTAAAGTTCAGTTCCCGTGTCTCTACCTGGAGATAATAACACTATCCTTGCGGGGTTATTGTGAGGGTTCAGGAGTGGGGTGCTGCCTCAAAGTCTGGAGCACATGCAGAGCTTCATCAGGTGGTGGTTCCTTCCTGTCACCAGATGTGGAAAACCTCATTATCAGCGCAAGGAGATTTCACATGATGGCACAGCCTGTGATAACGAGGAGGGGGAGGAGGAGGAGGAGGAGGAAGAGGAAGAGGAGGAGGAGGAGGAGGAGGAGGAAGAGGAGGAGGAGGATCTGAGAGGCTTAAGGGCTCCAAGAGGTTGAAATTCTCACAGTCGGTCACATGCCAGTTGATGGTGGAACTGGACGTCAAAGACAGTCTTTCCTGGTTCCAAGCCCCGTGATATCATCTCTTGCCTCCTGGTGACGTGGCACTCTCAAGCAGCCGTCACTGTGTGTTCTAAGCAAAGATTTTCTCTCCAGGTGTGAAATGAGCTAATGGCCTCATCCTGCTCTAATATTTTAAGGCCTGGAAATAGTAGAGCAAGCCACTGTGGGATTACGCTCTAGCTGAAGAATCGTCTACGCCTTTAAAGACCAGTCTGCCCTGGAGAGATGGTTTGTATATTCAGTTTGGAAGAGAAGTCTCAGTCCTTGGGGTCAGAAGTGACCCTGGGTCCAGGTAAACTTAAACACACTACCCGGCCCGAGCTCTCCCTTCTCTGAATGTAGAGAATATTTAGTGTGGTTGGGGAGGGAGTTGGTTTGTCAAACTGGCAGTAAGGATTTGTCTGAAAGCCTGTAAGAACATTCATTCTAGAAAAGAGCTGAGTAATGTCTACCAGCAGGCTGGAAAGGAGTTACTGGGGGAAATTAAAATGTATAAACCACAGGGAAGAAAGGCCGTACGGAGAGAATAATATCTCCACTTTAAAAAGGCAAGACTTACACATCTTACATCATTTCATCTTCAAGAACACTCTGCAGGCATCTGTGATTTTTATTACCACTTTATTGATGCCACAAAGAGGCACAGTGTGGTAAAGTGATTTGCCCCAAGTAGGAGTGATATTGCCTGGCCCCAGGTACCCTGCACAAAGGGATTCTGATAGGACCCCATACACGTTTCAAACACATGCCCAGGCACAGACACATGCCAGCACCCACCACCGGGTGCTTTAGAAATACCCTATGAGGAGAGAAGGCATGCTGTGCCGTAGAAGATAATGAAAAGGACTCGGGCCTCTCTCACATACAGGACACCCCGCGTACTCTCTTTGGGACTGAGGGGTGAGGGTCGGTTAGTCAGCAGAAAGAATGCACTTTATGGCTCAGCTACACTGGTTTATGATGCCCTTCAGCTTCTCCCTGCCCCACTGCTCCTGCCCATTTCCAGACCAGCTCTTCCTAACATCTCAACTCACCCAGCTACACACACACACACACACACACACACACACACACACCCCATTGCTATTGAGTGCTCAAGGAATGCAAACTTATTTTAATATTGATGTAGGCACAATTCCATTAGGAAGACGAATCTCATGATAAAAATAAATCTAGAATAAAGTCAAATCAGAGTGTCATCTGGATGATAAATTTGGGTGTTTCTCACAGCAGAACACACATCTTTCTAGCAGAATGTGTCATGCTGTCCAAGGCCCAACCTCACAGCTCTAGAAGGAATTAAGCCTAGTGATTAACAGTGTGAGGTTTAAAGTCAGATTTCAAGATGTATGACCTTGGACAAACCACTTTACCCCTCTGTAGCATTGACAAACGGGCATAAAAACCTCATCTATCTCACAGGGCAGTCCTGACAATTAAAGGGTGTAATCACATGAGGAATGTAGAAAAGTATCTGGCATGTAAAGTGTCCTGTAAGCATTAACTCATTACAATTTACGCTCCTGCCCTGTTTATTTATGTATTTTTTATTTTTTTAAAATTAATTTCTATTGGTGTCAATTTACCAACATACAGAATAACACCCAGTGCCCATCCCGTCAAGTGTCCCCCCAGTGCCCGTCACCCACTCACCCCCACCCCCCGCCCTCCTCCCCCTTCACCACCCCTAGTTCGTTTCCCAGAGTTAGGAGTCTTTATGTTCTGTGTCCCTTTCTGATATTTCCCACACATTTCTTCTCCCTTCCCTTATATTCCCTTTCACTATTATTCATATTCCCCAAATGAATGAGAACATACACTGTTTGTCTTTCTCCGATTGACTTACTTCACTCAGCATAATACCCTCCAGTTCCATCCACGTTGAACCAAATGGTGGGTATTTGTCGTTTCTAATGGCTGAGTAATATTCCATTGTATACATAAACCACATCTTCTTTATCCATTCATCTTTCGATGGGCACCGAGTCTCCTTCCACAGTTTGGCTATTGTGGCCATTGCTGCTATAAAAATCAGGGTGCAGGTGTCCCGGCGTTTCATTGCATCTGAATCTTTGGGGTAAATCCCTAACAGTGCAATTGCTGGGTCGTAGGGCAGGTCTATTTTTAACTCTTTGAGGAACATCCACACAGTTTTCCAGAGTGGCTGCACCCGTGCACATTCCCACCAACAGTGTAAGAGGGTTCCCTTTTCTCCACATCCTCTCCAACATTTGTGGTTTCCTGCCTTGTTAATTTTCCCCATTCTCACTGGTGTGAGGTGGTATCTCATTGTGGTTTCGATCTGTATTTCCCTGATGGCAAGTGATGCAGAGCATTTTCTCATGTGCATGTTGGCCATGTTTATGTCTTCCTCTGTGAGATTTCTGTTCATGTCCTTTGCCCATTTCATGATTGGATTGTTTGTTTCTTTGCTGTTGAGTTTAATAAGTTCTTTATAGATTTTGGAAACTAGCCCTTTATCTGATATGTTATTTGCAAATATCTTCTCCCATTCTGTAGGTTGTCTTTGAGTTTTGTTGACTGTATCCTTTGCTGTGCAAAAGCTTCTTATCTTGATGAAGTCCCAATAGTTCATTTTTGCTTTTGTTTCTTTTGCTTTCGTGGATGTATCTTGCAAGAAGTTACAGTGGCCGAGTTCAAAAAGGGTGTTGCCTGTGTTCTCCTCTAGGATTTTGATGGAATCTTGTCTCACATTTAGATCTTTCATCCATTTTGAGTTTATCTTTGTGTATGGTACAGGAGAGTGGTCTAGTTTCATTCTTCTGCATGTGGATGTCCAATTTTCCCAGCACCATTTATTGAAGAGACTGTCTTTCTTCTAGTGGATCGTCTTTCCTCCTTTATCGAATATTAGTTGACCATAAAGTTCAGGGTCCACTTCTGGGTTCTCTGTTTTGTTCCATTGATCTATATGTCTGTTTTTGTGCCAGTACCACACTGTCTTGATGACCACAGCTTTGTAGTACAACCTGAAATCTGGCATTGTGATGCCCCCAGCTATGGTTTTCTTTTTTAAAATTCCCCTGGCTATTCGGGGTCTTTTCTGATTCCACACAAATCTTAAAATAATTTGTTCTAAGTCTCTGAAGAAAGTCCATGGTATTTTGATAGGGATTGCATTATACGTGTAAATTGCCCTGGGTAACATTGACATTTTCACAATATTAATTCTGCCAATCCATGAGCATGGAATATTTTTCCATCTCTTTGTGTCTTCCTCAATTTCTTTCAGAAGTGTTCTATAGTTTTTAGGGTATAGATCCTTTACCTCTTTGGTTAGGTTTATTCCTAGGTATCTTATGCTTTTGGGTGCAATTGTAAATGGGATTGACTCCTTAATTTCTCTTTCTTCAGTCTCATTGTTAGTGTATAGGAATGCCATTGATTTCTGGGCATTGATTTTGTATCCTGCCATGCTACCAAATTGCTGTATGAGTTCTAGCAATCTTGGGGTGGAGGCTTTTGGGTTTTCTATGTAGAGTATCATGTCATTGGCGAAGAGGGAGAGTTTGACTTCTTCTTTGCCAATTTGGATGCCTTTAATGTCTTTTTGTTGTCTGATTGCTGAGGCTAGGACTTCCAATACTATGTTGAATATCCTGCCCTGTTTAAAAGTCTGGTGGGTGAAACTCATTTCTTAGCATTTTCCCCGAAAGCACTAGCAGCTGCAAAGTGTGCAGGAAAGCCACAACCGGCACAGCTCAGGGCTGAGGCACTGAGGCAGCACCAGTGCAAACCCCACAGACTGGACTGGGGATGGATCAGAGGCTGCATTTCTTCCTTTGGCTGACCTGACAAAGAGGAGCCCTCCCCGCCTCCCCAGCCCCAGACCTACTGAACCTGCTTCATCTCCAGGCTAACACGTGGCCGCCAAAGGTACCGGGAAGTTCAGAACCTACTATCCCACATACTTGAATATTGACTTGTGCCTGAGATAAAAGAAGCTGACTGGGCGGGAGGATCCTTTCCAAGGGACGCCAGGCACTCTCCCTGGGGTCTGCAGAGCCAGCCCACAGATGGCTCAAGGCACAGGAACCCAGACGCCAGGTCCTGAGTCCCAGGAGCCCTGGAAAGAGGCAATAGTTCTGCGGGTGAGGCCCAGGGCAGGGGGGGCTCACATGGCACCGTGGGGAGAGCCCTGGCCCCAGCCCACCTGGTGTGCACCTGGGCTCTACTCCTCCCTGGCCTGCACGGCCTGCGGGGAGTGGCTTCTGCACGTCTGCACCTGTTTCTTCCCAGAGAAAGCAAGGCTAGGGGGTTAGATACATGGAAGGTCGCATGGGCACGAGGTGGAGAAGTGGATGGGGGACCTGCAGCAGGACCTACCCCAGCCGTAAGAGTGGGAAGCGGCGCTTGCTGGGATCCCAGCTTCGGGGGAGAAGTCACTGCGCCAGCAGGTCGCTGGAGAAGTGGAGGGGGATGAGGGGACTCTGGAAGCAGCAGGATGCGTGGCCTCCAGTGGCAGCGGGGGACAAGGGGCCCGGATGGCCAGGCGTCCTGCAGGGGGGGATGAGCCCCGGTGGGGAGGGGCAGACAGGGTGGCTCCTGCCGAGGTCGGGGCTGCAGAGAAGTGAAGTCAGGGCCCAGGGCAGCGATGGTGCCGCTTGGCGCCAGCCGACAGGGGAGCCGCGAGCTCGCCCTGAAGCACCTGCACAGGCCTCGGGGGCCCAGGTGACCCGGCCCCGCTCTCCCCTGCGCCCCGAGTCCCTTGCTTCTGCAGACCGGCACTCTGTCCAGAACCCCGCCCGCCACTCAAGGGGGTGGGTGTTTCCCGAGGTCGCAGAGCCAACACCTGAGCCAGGATCCAGGCCCCGGAGCCTCCTGGCTGGATCCTTCCGGCTGGATCCTCCCCCCTGTATCCTCCCCGCTGGATCCTTCCCGCTGGATCCCCCCCGGCTGGATCCCCCCAGCGGCAGAGGCCCCGGGGCAGCCGGCGCAGGCACCTCCACGGAGCGGCGCTGGCGGTTCACCTGCCGCAGGTGCCGCAGGTGCCACAGGGCTTCCGGGGCCCGGCCCACACGAGAGCCGCGTGCACCCTCCGAGCCGGCAGTGGCGTGGGCCTCCTGGCTCCCAGCGACCTCCGCGACCCCGGCGACCCGCGGCCCACGGGCGGCCCCGCGAGCGGCAGCGCACAGCTGGACGGTGCGGCCCAGCGGCTCCGGCATTCCGGGGGCCGCGCCCTCCCCTGGGGACGCCTCCGGGGCCCTGGGTCACCCCGGCTCCCGCAAAGCTCCGCGCTGCCGAGGTCCTTGGGGGGTCTCTCGGGGGTCACCCTGCGGGGGGTCAGCCTGCGGGGACCCCACGCCCGGCGAGGGGCAGGCCCACCCTGGGCAGGCTGCTGGTTCCCGACGGGCGCGGGGTCGGCAGGACCGGTCCATGGCCCAGGTCAGCTGTCCCCCCCACCCCCAGTGGCCGCAGGGGCGCAGCAGCCCGGGGTGACGGCTCGGCTCAGGCCCCGCGAGGCTGCAAGGACGCGACCGACCGCCCGGGCGGCCCGAAGGGACCAGGAGGAGGGGGCCCGGGGCCCGGGGCGCCAGAGGGCACGGGGCGACACCCACACACGCAGCTGTCCTGCCAGATGAGCCCGCCTCCCCCGGGGTCAGCTCCGGCCTGCGGGGTCTACGCGGGGTCTAGGGGTGTCTAGGGGGCGTCTGGGGGGTCTAGGCGGGGTCTAGGCGGGATCTAGGAGGGTCTAGGGGGGTCTAGGCGGGGTCCAGGGGGTCCAGGGATCCGGGCGGGCCGCGGAGGGGTGGGGGCTCGGGCGGGGGGGCAGGTGGGGTAGTCGAGCCCGAGGCCGGCAGCCGCGCGCCCCCAAGACCCGGCTGCGGGGCTCCTCGGCGTCTGGACGGACGGACTCTGAGCCCGAGGTCCCGCCGCTCCGGAGCCGTTGAAAACCCTTTAACCCTGAAGGGAATGGGCCTTGACACCCCCGACCTGGCCGTGCAGCGAGCAGGGGCCACCTGCCTGCTGCCCCGGCCTGAGGAGCCCGCACCAGGGCCCGGGGCAGGGAGACGCTCCAGCCACGTTGGGGGGCGAGGAGAGGGGGGGAGAGGGGGGCTGAGACGACGGTGGTGGTGCTCCCTGGAGGGGAGACGGTGTCCCTGAAAGTCGCTTACATTCTGCGGAGCCTGTGACTCTCTTAGGCCTCGGAGTCCGTGACCCTGTTTCCAGGGATCCGCAAGAGGAGTGGGGGGGGGGGGGCTCCCAGTCACAGTGAGGCCTCCCGCTGGTCCTGTAGGAGGAGGGGGTGCTCCCAGTCACGGTGAGGCCTCCCTCTGGTCCTGGAGGTGGGGGGTGCTCCCAGTCACGGTGAGGCCTCCCTCTGGTCCTGCAGGAGGAGGAGGGGGTGCTCCCAGTCATGGTGAGGCCCCAGCTGGTCCTGCAGGAGGAGGAGGGGTGCTCCCAGTCACGGTGAGGCCTCCCTCTGGTCCTGGAGGAGGGGGTGCTCCTAGTCACGGTGAGGCCCCCGCTGGTCCTGCAGGAGGGGGGGTGCTCCCAGTCACGGTGAGGCCTCCCTCTGGTCCTGGAGGAGGAGGAGGGGGTGCTCCCAGTCACGTCGAGGCCTCCCTCTGGTCCTGGAGGAGGGGGATGCTCTCATTGAGTCCACACGAGGAAATGAAGCCCGTTCCTGTAGCTGAGGTACTGACTTGTGAGGATGCGCCCCGAGCTGTGCGGGGAGCAGGGCTGCTCTCCTGGGTCCGCCCCGTCCCCGGGGGCCGCCCGCCTTCGGGCTCTGCTCCCAGGAGCCACATAACCAGGGGTTAGTAAATAAGTGAATAAGTCAGTTTTATTCCTGACAGAGGCGTCTCCTCTTGCCTTGTCCTGGAGCCCTGCCCTGCTCTCCAGCTCCCCGAGCTGACCTGTGAGGCTGGAGAGGACAGGACACAGGGTTGGCCTGAGGGTTTGGGGTCCCGGAGAAGGGTTGGGGTCCCGGAGAAGGGCCGGTGGGGTCTGGTTCTTCTAAAGCACATAGGTCCGGGCTCCCCTGAAGTCTCCTGGGAACAGGATGAAGCAGGCGGGGAGCTGGGCCTGGCAGCACAGCCCAAGAGCACAGGAGGGCCTGCGAGCAAGTGTAAGGGGTCGGAGAGGAGCAGACCCCACAGGGAGCTCAGCCGGAAGCTGGGAAGCCACGGTCTCTCTTAAAGATGAGAGACGCAATATTCTTTAATTTCTAAAACCTTTTGTTAAACATTCTAAGAACATCATTAGCCTTAAGTATCAGGAGCCTTTAGCTATGGTGATGTAAGAACTTTCTAGATACACATGTATGTGGCTGACGCACAAACCCTAAATATGAATGATTAACAAAGCTGCTATAGATCCTTTCCCCAGACCCAGGAGGGCGCAGGTTCCTGAGGCCCTCAGGCGTCCGGGGATGAGTAGGCCCTGCCTCCAGGTTAGCTGAGTGGGTGAGACTCTGCGCTGGGTGCACAGGTGCCGGGAAAGTCTCCCTCCTTCCAAATACGCCTTTATTTCATTTTATTTACATTCAATCCATTAGCATATTGTGTACTATTAGTTCCAGAGGTGGGGTTCGCTGATTCCCCAGTTGTAGAGACCACCTAGCACTCACCACATTCCACATACTTCTTTTCCATCCTGCCACAGCGCCTGCAATTCCTCGCCAGACTTCAAAGTTCGATTTCGTATTTTCCTTCTCCTGGTGTCTGCTACTCTCGGGGCCCAGTGATCCCGAAGCCGCTTTCCCCTTGCACTTGCCTTATGACTTAATGAATTCTTGGTTGCCACTGAGGGTCAGCAAGCTAAGAGCATAGAAGAAATATCCTGGGGGGGGGGGGAAGAGCAGGTAGGGAAAAAACCATAAAGCGTGTGACTCGAATCCAGGCCCTAGAAAAGCAAAAGGCCCCGAGCACCTGCCACCATGAAAGTAAGTGGCTGGGATCCACAGTAAGTGGGTGGCGCAGTGGTTTGGTGCCTGCCTTTGGCCCAGGGCGCGATCCTGGAGACCCGGGATCGAATCCCACGTCAGGCTCCCAGTGCATGGAGCCTGCTTCTCCCTCTGCCTATGTCTCTGCCTCTCTCTCTCCCCGTGTGTGACTATCATAAATAAATAAAAATTTTTTTTTAAAAAAAGAAAGTAAGTGGCTACGGAAATGCCAAGGGGAGAGGAGACAGGACGGAGGGTCCCAAAGATCTGCCACGTTGATGTGGCTGCAGTCCTCCAAGTCCCTCACCTCCTGCCCTTCCTCCCTGTCTGCGCCTTTGCCTCTGCTGAGGAAGCTGACCTGCCCGCATCGGCTTACGTGCTGCTGAGAGCAGGAGAGGCCGTTTATCACCCTGACAGGGGCCTCGCAGTCGGGCAGTCCAGGCCTCTAACGTGCTGGTGCCTAGGAGGAGACGAGGGAGTCAGACAGACTCATTCCATGAGGCCCTTGAGCAGGACCCCTGCTGTACCAGGCGCCCTGACCTCCTGCCCACTAGTTGCTGACCTCCTCCCAGACGGTCCCTAGACAGTCCAAAGGACTCGGGACTGGGCTCAGAGGCAGTGGGGCTCCCACGGCAGTGCCTCTGCTTCCCCCGGACCAGGGCGGGGTTAGAACAGGGTAAGACCCCAGGTTGGCTGCTGGCCCATCGTCACCTGGCCAGGCTGGGGGCAAGAGAGATGTCTGGCTAGGAGAGGCACGGCCATAGGAGGGAAGCTGCCTGAGAAGACAGAAGTCCCTGCCACATTCTGTTGTTACATACCAGCCACATCTCTCCCAGTCCCTCCAACCTCTGCGAACCACGTTGTCTCTCTGAACCTCCATTTCCTCTGACGGGGTGGCCCATCGGAAAGAGATGGAGAGAGAAGTCGAATGTTATCCCTTCTACGGCTCCTTAGCCGTGCTCACAGCCTTACATGGTGTCGCTCAGGTTCGCCCACTTACGAGCACCAAGGAGGCTGCATCCCGTTATCCGGACGGTTCCCACCTCAGTAGTCCCACGCTCTTGAGGACAATCTGCATGACCCTGAGATCTGCCAGCTGTGCCATGCGGTCCTGGGGGCCTCATCCCCGGCATCAGCTCAGCTGAGGGTACAAACACACTGAGGTCTCCTCCTGCTGCTGGCCCACTGCACAAAGGCTCTTGGGAGGCTCATTTCATTTAATCCCCACCGTGCTCCTACCTGATATTCTAACCCCCCATTTTTAGAAATGAGCCTTTTAGAGGTGAAGTAAATTCCTCAAGGTCTCATGGGCAGCAGGTGATGGAGGCAGATTTGAACCTGTTGCTCCCAGGCCTGACACCTATACTGCTCTGCTATATATAACCTGCCTTTCAGGTTTGGCTGTTCTTAGAGCCCACAGGGCCTGGTCTGCTTCCCCGGAATCTCTCCTCATAGAGACCTCCATGCTGGGCAGCCCCGGTGGCGCAGTGGTTTAGCACCGCCTGTAGCCCAGGGCGTGATCCTGGAGACCCTGGATCGAGTTCCACGTCAGGCTCTCTGCCTGGTGCCTGCTTCTGTCTCTGCCTCTCTCTCTCTCTGCGTCTCTATGAATAAATAAATAAAATCTTTAAAAAAATAAAAAAAAAGAGACCTCCATGCTAGTCAACACCCACTGCCTCTGGAAGAACTCGGTCTCCTTTTGACCCCAGAAGGCCCAGTGTGCACAGAGTACCATGAGCATCCAGAACCAAAACTACAAGTCCCGCAGAGACATACTTCTTTGTTCATACCTGAACTACAGCCCACACTCCAGGTTGATTTCCTGTCTCATAATCAGCCTCTTCCAGGGGAAGGGTAGCTTGGGCTCCTTCAGAGGCTGCCTCACCACCTGTCCCCAGGGGCTGACCTCTCCCTTCATCAACACCACAATCATGAGAGAAGTCAGTACCAAGATCAACACAACAGTGTGGGGGGGTGTCATTTCTCATAGCCATTTCTTCTAAATTTAAAAACAAAGGTCTTTTCATTTTAATTTTTCTCTGACCCCATATTATTCAATCTCTAAGTACCTAAATTGAACTGGGATTAGGAGCTCCAGCTGTAAACTTTCTGCATACCGTGCTCTGCCATAGTTTAAGCAAAGACAATGACCCTGCATCATGCATGTAGTGTGCTATAAAATCAATATGAGAATCACAGGGAGTGTAGTGAATTCCCAGAAACAAGAAAGCAATTGTCTTTTAAACTTGTTTGACCACTGCGTGCAGCCTTTAGCAT